CGCGAACGATGAGTATCGTACGGTGGCGAGTACGCGATCGCACGATCGCACGCGTGCGGTGTCCTACACGCCGGCGGCGTTCTGCGAGACGCCTTGACCGCGCGCCAGTCTGCGTCAGCGCATCGACACGTCTGGTCCTCCAAAGTGGCTTCAGCGCACGCGCTACTTGACTACTGCGTGAGCGGTGCACGTGGCGCACACCACACGGCGCTGTTCTCATCGGTGGCATCCTTGCTCGGCAGTCCAGGTCAGTGCAACTACAGCGCGGCGAATGGCGCGCTGGATGCCACAGCCGCGCGCGAATGGCGCCGAGGAACCGCCGTGCGTGCTGTTCAGTGGGGTGCGTGGGATGGCGCGGGGATGGCGCTCTCGAACCCCGCCGTGCTCGGACATGCACGTGCGTCTGGGATCGGCGTGCTTGATCCACGCGCGGGACTTGCAGCCGTGCGCGTCGCTCTGCACGAGTCGATGATAACGACCCAATGGTGGGCCACTGGTGCTGTGTTGGCTGTTGTTCCATTCCAGTGGACTGTGCTCTCGAAGACGCACAATCACACGAGCGCGCTGGTTGCAGAATACCGTACAAAGCCAGCGGCGAGTACAGATGTGCGAGCAACAGTCAGCCAGAAAGGTGCCACGGGCGCGCGTCCGGCGTCCGACGAGAGCGCACGCCAGCTGGTTACATCTGCCGTGGCGCGTGCCCTGGGCAGGGATGTGTCCTCGGACGCGTCACTCATGGAAGAAGGTCTCGACTCGCTCGCCGCCGTGGAGCTCGGTGGCACGTTGCAGAGAGACACAGGCGTCACGATGCCAGCTACGTTGGCATTTGACTACCCGACAATAACAGCCATAGTGGGATATTTGAAGACAGTCATGGTCAACACGGCGGGCTCAACCACGCCATCGCCATCGGATCGGATGGGCGCTCATGCAAATAACGCCGAAGATGTGCGCACACGAACGCTGGCGCGAGGTAGAGTCCACACTAAGAATATGCACCCACACGCTCGAGGCTCGTACATGGACGAACACGTGCACCAACAGATGACATACGTGCGCGTTGGTCTGACGTCCTCGTCTTCAGCGGAGAGGTACATCGCAGATGACGCCGTAGGACAGTCATTTGACCTGTGCACGGTGATGCCTCGCGCACGATTGGATCCTGACGAGGCATATCCAGAAGAACGTGAGCCATTTGTCGTGCGTCACACACCAATCCTCCTGCGCATTGAGGACATGGACCACGGCATGCTTGGTATTCATCACCGCGAGGCACAATTGATGGACCCGCAGCAGCGTGTGCTCCTGGAGAATGCATTCGCTGCAGTGCGGACGCCGACACGTGAGGCGTCAACGCACCAATCAACAGCCGTGGCGGTGGGTGCTTGGGCATCACAATACGCCGACTTGTGCCGAGTCTACATGCCGGCACCAGGACCATACTCAGGCGTCGCTTCTGCATTGAGCGTGCTTTGCGGTCGCGTGTCGTACACATTCGGTCTTCGAGGGCCGTCCGTATGCGTGGATACGGCGTGTTCGTCATCGCTCGTCGCTGCACACACTGCGAGCGCGTACTTGCGTGGCCGAGAGTGCGATGATGCCCTCGTCGCTGGCGTGAGCGTGAATGTGGGTGTGGGGACGTTCCGCGTGGGCGCGGCGGCCAGCATGCTCTCGTACGACGGTCGATGCAAGACTCTAGATGCGAGTGCAGACGGATACGCCAAGGGTGAGTGTTGCGTAGTCCTTCGCGTGACATCGAATACGTCTCTTGACGTGGACGCTCTCGCGCGCGATGCGAACGATCCATCACCCACCCATATCGCCCTGGCGCAACTCGAGCACACGGGCGTGAACCAAGACGGCCGATCGAGCTCGCTCACCGCTCCAAACGGGCCGTCACAGCAAACACTCATGGCCGACGTGCTTGTTCGCGCTGGTCTGCACGCGCGCACGATCGGCCGGCTGGAAATGCACGGCACTGGTACGTCGCTCGGCGACCCCATTGAGGTCGGCGCCGCTCTTGAGGTTCTGGCGTCGCCGTCGATGGAGTCCCAGCCCTCGAGCGCTCGAGCGCTCACGTTTGAAGGCGCTAAGCCTCGCGTTGGTCACTGCGAACCAGGAGCAGGCGTCGTTGGGCTGCTGTTCGCGACAGCACATGTAACGACGCGCGCCACAGCGGCGCTGGTCCATTTGCGCCAGCTCAATCCTCACGTGGAGGCCGCCGCTCGCCGCCACGCGCAGTCCCAAGGGGCGAGACATCTGGTACTTCCGCGACAAGGCATGTCGCGTCCACTTGACAGCGCATCTACGGCATCGGCTGCGAACGATGCGACAGCATGCGTGCGGCGTTCCGGCGTGAGTGGCTTCGCCTTCCAAGGCACAAACGCGCACGCCATCGTGACTCAAGGACCGGTCGCGAGCCACAATATTCTACATGGGCACACCACTCAGAGCAACACGACTTTACGTGCGTGGGAGCGTCATCGACACTGGTGCGCTCCCGAGAGCCACTGTCTTGTTGCCTCGGTCCATGGCCTGCGGCACGCTGGTTTCCCGACAGTGCTCGCGCGCTCATGCGTGCGCCTTGGCAAAAGTGTAGCTCTCAATGGCATGCTCGACCACGCCGTTGGCTTGAAGCGTTTGCTTCCAGGGACCGCGCACCTTGAGCTGTGTCGCGCCATGGGTGAGGCGCTCGTGGAGCGCCCGCATGCACACATGGCGCTGTCGAGTGTATCATTCGTCGCTCCTCTCGAGCTGCACACATCAGCATTGGAGGTTCTCTGCGACGTCACGCCTGTAGGCGTGGCGCGCGTTAGCGTCGGCGCGTCCACGGCCTCGTCGACGGGTTCGCGTCTTCGAGCCGTGCCCAGCGCCCGCAGCACATCCAGGATCGTCCGAGCTCCTGCACACCGAGCGGCCGAGACAGCGTCCGCGCGCGCAGCTCTCATCTCCGCCGCCGTTCATCGCCTGCGCTGGTCACACTCAACACCCAGACAAGACGCCCGCTCGGCTCGTTGGGCGTACGGTACCGTGCGCGCGCAGCCGACGTCGACGTTACCGGAAGCGTATCACGCATCGCCTGCTGCGCTCGACGCCGCGCTTCACGCGCTCAGCGCGTGTACGCCGTCGGCGGGTCGAGGAGTGTCGGACGCGAGCCCGTTTGTCCCAGCGACCATCGGCGGTGTCCGCGCGCACGGCGTCCCATCAATCATCCACAGTGCGCGCTTCGCTCTCGTCGGCACCACGCACGTCGATGACGCGCCGCATCGCACCACACGACGCTCGCACCATCACCTCTGGGAAATGTGTCGTGATGTCGTCCGTGGTGCCATCGTACTGCAACTGCATTCAAAGCGCGCATCATTTGATTTAAGTCCACCCGTTGACACTTCTTCCAAGTTGATGACGTGTTATCCCCCACTACGTAACAAGAGAACAGTACATGATCCGTGGCCTGCTTTTTCAGGAGATAGTTCTCAGAGCGTTGACACGAGCCATAAAGAATTTGAAAGATGTATCATAAGTGACATCGAGGTAGTAATTATTGAGATTTTGTCAAACGTAGCGAATGTACAACCGCAGCTGAACGAAACGCTTGCGAATCAAGGTTTGGATTCTTTAGCCATCACACAATTTTTTGTTGAGGTGCGTGAAAGATACAATTACGATATTCGCCGTGACCTCCAAGTTGAGGTTACAATACGCGAAATCATACGTGACATTGCTACTCAAATAGAACAAACGAAGGCTTCTATAAGTTGCAACGCGATGCGTGATCAGAATCTTGTTGTAGGTAATCGATCTATGAGGCTTCAGGGTAGAGATTCAATATTCCTATCGAAAATTGGCAAGTTTGTCAAGCACCTTTTGCGGATGGAGACTACCGCAAAGTTCGCAAGTATAATCGCGTTACTTGGGTTCATTTTGACTGTGACTTGTGCTTCTAAGGCCGACTAAGAGTAACGTTCATAACTAAAACCCGTGGGATATAAATTTTACGCCGTAGGACGTACCTACATCGGCCGGGTACAACAAGTAAGCGCTGGCGCGTGGTCACCATACGATGTTAAAGACATTGCCTTTGAGGTCCGTGACGTGGATTTTGACTAATCTCGGTCATGGTTGTGCACACCTTTTCTTGAGTCATAATCGGTCACGTCATGTATGGGTAAACAGTATGATCGGGGTACTCCAACTTGTGTTTTACCTTGCACAAATTTCGGCAAGTTTTCGCAACACGCGACATGTGTGCGCGGATAACGCGCCGACGAGGCAGGGAGGACGTGCGTCGCGATGAATAGTTGTAAATACATGCATGTTACATCAGATTCATCCAGTTTCTGTGGCATACGACGGACATAGCGACGTCCTCACGCAGTTCCTCGCGCTCTGGTACTCCACGCCAAGCTCTCAAGAAACCACGTCTAAACCCTACCTAAACCCTACCTAAACCCTACATAGGGTTTAGGTGTCTATTTCTCGCGAGTGTTCTACGCGCACAAGCGCTCGACGTGTCGCTTTCATCCGCGTTACGGGCTTCGGAAAGGACTTTGAGCGCCTTGTGTTGTTCATCGTATCCACTTAACTGTGGTGTCAGCGTGTATTGCACGTGCTGTGCATGTGTCATCAACCCTAACTAGGGTTTGGTTAGGGTTTATCTAGGGTTTGAGCAGGATTCAAGGTGTCTCCTCACGGCTCTGTCAGAGTGAGGTTGTTCTACCTTCTACATTCGACTGAGCGATTTCTTCTCGTGAGAACGTCAGTGATCCGATAGTGTGTGATGGATACTACGTGTGGCGAAGCATGCGCGCGTCCTCCCTGCCTCGTCGGCGCGTTATCCGCGCACACATGTCGCGTGTTGCGAAAACTTGCCGAAATTTGTTTAAGGTAAAACACAAGTTGGAGTACCCCGATCATACTGTTTACCCATACATGACGTGACCGATTATGACTCAAGAAAAGGTGTGCACAACCATGACCGAGATTAGTCAAAATCCCCGTGACGTGAACAATGTATACATTGACGAGTCAGGAACCGGAATTACCCCCCTCAAAAGGTATATGGATTCGTGGGGACCTGATTTTCTGGACCCGCGCGCCGGCGCCGTCCGAGCGGTCACTCGAGGGCGCGTTGTGAGCATTAACGTGCCTTTGGTTCAAACCTCTCGTTGCAACGCTCGCGGTAGCGGGTCGACGACGCGCGGCGCGCGGCAAATTTCGGTAAATTCGAGCAATTTCCGAGCCGCAGAATTTTTTTTCAAAAATGTATGGGAAAAGGTAGTTTTTGGACGACGGAGAACGCTGTAGACGCTTTCAGACGGCGAGATCGGCAGTGATTGCTGTCGTCACTGTTTACAACGTTCGTGCGGCGTCGAGGCAGGTATGGTGAAGATGTTGCGCAATTCAACTGCATCGGTCACTAAAGATGCGTTCACGATGCCACAAGGAGATACGTCAAAAATCGGTCACGCTGCCCCGCACGACAGCTTGCTCGATCGCCTGACGCGGAGTTCTCGAACGCGCGAACGTCTTCCGTCGTTTCCGCGCCTTACCGCGAATCTCGCGCACGCCGTCGACGCTCGAGCGGTCGCACTGTGGAGACCAATCGATGAATCACATCGCACGCAATCACATCAATTTGCACCTTAACGCGCGTTGCGACGCCGAATCGCGACGAAAATCGCTTAAATTTGGAGAGGAAAGTGAAAAAACGTCGACGAATCGATCCGCGGCGCCGTGTTTTCTAAACCCTAGAAAATAGGGTTTACGGTCAATATTGCTCGCCCCAGCGTCGCGCCTCCTTACGACGCCGCGACGCGCGCGCGCGCGCGATCGGCAGACGAAACCGTTCGCGTCCGCGCTCGCGCTCGCGTCGTCGCCGTCGTCGCGCGCGGGTCCAGAAAATCAGCTCCCAAACGCATCGCGACTCGTCGCGTCAACGAGGGGTCTTCGACGGGTCGTGACTCGCGTTTCTCTCGCGTACCCCCTCGCCGGGATTTTAGAGCCCCAAAAAGAGGTCGATTCACGACTCGTCGTGTGCGCCGTGTCAAAATCCATATACCGCGGGAGGGTCACCGACCCTCGAGTTACACTCTTCGGGTATGGTGACAATAATGTTTGCCCATACGAATCGACTGGGTACACGATATCCGTATACGCGGGTACGGTACCCAGCGTACCCAGTCGTGCAGGCCTAAAGCAGCATGGTGTCCGATATGCCTGTTCCGCCCAAACGCTTCAAAGTGAAGCACGTCGGCTTAAGGGCGTACGAGACGACGAGCGCGCTTTTGAGTATTCTAAGAATACAAACGATCGCACAACCAACCTACCCGGCATTTTGACAAGTACACCCCGCTGTACACACGGGACGGGGTACCTTGACCGATGATTTCCTTTCAAAAAAACTACGATGTTGAGATCCCACCTACTGGTGCCCCCGGAGAGATGGCATATGGCAAAAAGCAGGTAAATCTTATAAAATAACACGCGTTTGACTGAGTAGCTGAATAATTCATCACAGAGGATCACTTCGGCACTGCGAGACCTGACGAATGGCGAACTAGACAACACACGACGTCGCGCACCTAGACCAGTTCAGTTTTCACAAGTGCATCCCGCAGAGGACATTGACACGGGGCTTAAGTCAAAAGATGAGACTTCCGTTATTCGAAGACTTCACTCACCGGATGTCGCGGACATCGACGATATGCAACTCGCAATTGCAGAGGACATCCACGCAAGTCTGTTGAAAACACAAGCGTTTCTTGTTGCATCTAAGCGATTTCCACCTGAGATAAGCACATCCATGCGCAATATTCTGGTCGATTGGATGATAGAAGTTGCAGAAGAATACAAGCTAGTGCCTGAAACGCTTTTCCTGAGCGTTATGTATACGGATGTGTGCTTACAAGAGATGAATATACACCGCTCCGAGTTGCAACTGCTGGGAACAACTTGCATTATGGTGGCTGCAAAGTACGAAGAAATATACGCGCCACCGATCGATGAACTGTGTTACATCACCGATAATTCGTACACGCGATCGCAAATCATCAAGATGGAACGGGCTGTACTAAAGTGCCTGGAGTTCTCTTTGACGCGAACAACTGTGAACACATTTTTGACTTTCTATCTGTCACGTATTCATACGAGCACCCGATGTTCAAGTTTAGCCGCATTTCTAGCGGAGTTGACCCTGATGTGCCAAACATTTCTGGACTTTACGCCTGCTGTTGTGGCAACGGCAGCTATTTTTCTCGCGGAGTATAATCTTAGTGATGCTAGGCCACGAATACTTGAACTTGATCTGTTTGAGTTGTTGGACAACAACCAGTTGACGCGATGTATTGAATCTATGAACAAAGAATTCGCTAGTTACGATGCGGAGAAGTTCCATGCGCTGCACGAGAAGTACTCTTCACAAAAGTACAATGAGGTCGCAACTGTCGTGGCCAAAGGAAACCCTTTGGCAATGCTCAAACAGAAGTGTACAATTCAACGTGGCGCAGGTAGACCGAACGAACAAAATATACACCGGGAAGTTTGAATTTAGTGCGTAGCGATTGTTTTTGTTCACGTGAACGATGTTGTTATTATTCAGAGAAATATGTACCGATCATACTGGGATGTAACTGGAAAGCACGCCAAGGGTCAAAAGCATCAGTCACGTTGGGCATCCCCACCAACTTGCCGTGTCATCGTTCGCATTGTGACAAATTCCTCAGCGCTCGATGGATGTATACCCACAGTCTGATCGAATTGCTGCTTCGTAGCTCCACACTTCAAAGCCGTCGCAAAACCTTGCATTATTTCCGCGGCATCAGGACCTACCATATGTACACCTAACACTCGTTGACTGTAGGTCTCAACAACGAGTTTCATCAAGGCTTTCTCGTTACGTCCAGAAAGCGAATATTTCATGGGTGTGAATGCCGAGGTGTAGATATCGCACTTATGTCCACGCGCGATCGCGTCTTGCTCTGATAGTCCGACGGACGCAACTGGGGGCTGTGAGAAAACGGCACACGGTATATTGTCGTATTCTGGTTTCGTTGGTACACCTTTCACAACAGTGTCAACAAAAGCCATCCCTTCCATGAGTGCCACAGGAGTCAAATTGACCCTATTTGTCACGTCACCAACGGCCCATATATTACTCACGTTCGTTCGGCTGTATTCATCTACTTTGATGGCGCCAGTGACAGAGATGTCAACACCCACGGTATCAAGACCTAAACTGGGTCGTGAAGTATTGGGAACTCGCCCTGTCGCAAACAAGACGACGTCTGTTTTGAGTACACCAGTCGTCGTCTCTACTGCTAAACGACCTGTATCGTCTTTTGAAAGACTAAACACCTGGCAATCAGCGTGTTGAGTGATACCCCTACTTTGCAGGTTCGTTTTAACAGTGCGTCGCAGATCATCATCGAACCCTCTCAGAGGAAGTGGTTGCCGATAAACCAAGTCTACCGTCACGTCGAGGCCTGCGAAAATACCGGCGAATTCTACTGCGATGTAACCACTCCCGATTATGAGTATTTTCTCAGGCAACTCAAGCAAGCTCAAAGCCTCGTCAGACGTGATGCCTAGATGTGCGCCTGGAATGTCAGGAACATGAGCCCGTCCTCCTGTTGCAATCAATATATCACGAGCAGTAATCCGCTCAGTCGATTTCTATAACGTTTTTTCAGTTTCATGTGAAGACCACAGAAAAGATATATACCTTGCCAGAAATCTCTACAGTATGCTCATCTATCAGTTTGCCAGCTCCCTCAAATGTTGTGACACCTGAGCCATGCAGAAGTTTCTTATATATTCCGTTCAGGCGCTGAATCTCTTGCATTTTGGCATTGAGAAGACGCTGCCAGTCAAACTTTGACGATGCGATGTCCCAGCCAAAACCAGTGGCGTCTTCGAACTGGGCAGAGAACTCACTTCCGAACACAAACAGCTTTTTCGGGACACAGCCCCTAATCACGCAAGTCCCGCCGAGGCCTCCTGTTTGTTCCGAACTCACTGGATCGTAAGGCATCTCGCACAGCCCGACTTTTGCGCCGGCAGTTGATGCCAGTCGTGACGCGCGAACTCCGCCAGAACCACCACCTGAAACTGCCGTAAGTTTTGAAAAGTTAAGTTGATAGGTTTTCCTCACCTATCACAAAAATGTCGAAGTCGTAGTCTTTGTCTTGCCCGGAATCGCCCACCATAGCGTTCGTATTAACTGAGCGAGTGCTAAAAGCTTTCTTCGTGTTTGTTGCTAGTCGTAAAGCGACCTGCCCGTGTGTTTTCAGAAAGCCACACCTTTGTGTCGAGAACTGAGCAAGTAACATGTGGCTGCGTTAGTAGTTCAGCCTTTTGTTCCCCGTGAGATTCCCCGGGTGCGCGCGGCAAGAAGGTGCGCGCTGACGCGTTCGACTGTCGCAGGAAGGGGGCGTGGCTCCCACACGTAGTCATTTTCTCGTAAGGCCGACTAAGAGCACCAGCACCGTTCATAACTAAAGTTATCGGCGATCGAAAAAATAAGAGCACCGAAATAAGCATATACCGTAGGTTACAAGTAAGCGCTGGCGCGTGGTCACCATACGATGTTAAAGATTTGCCTTTAATGCCCGTGACGTGAACAATGTATGCATCAGGTACCATTGACGAGTCAGGAACCGGAATTACCCCCCTCAAAAGGTATATGGATTCGTTGGGTAGGACTGCTTGAAATGCGTATCAGGAATTTCCTGATACGTATCAGCGTACTGGTACGTACCAGCCGAATGTCCGAACGTGTTAATCGTATGGGTAAACAGTACTGGCCAGCTGGTAAGAGCTGGACGACGTTCAGTTCAACATTTTGAAAACCGACTCCTGCACTTGCAGCGAAGCTCCCGGTTCGTTCGCGTGTGGAAGGCGCGATCAAAACGCTATGAGCGCGCGGTTCACGATTATTGAAATGCAGGTAGACGCAATAAATTGAGAAAAGTAATTTTCGTGATTGCCAAGCAGGGAGCTATCGTCCCGACGACATCGGGCACAAAAATTTGCGAAGGCGTACTTGTGAAGGACGTGCGTGCTGCGTTTTGTCAGTCTTAGAGGATAATCGATTTTAACGTTCTGCAGAAAATGACACTTCTAATGAATAAGCACGAGGCTACAGGTGCGACCGTTGCAGTACCGTCGACATAGCTCATACTCCGTAGGCCACATCCAACAGCTCAAGAAAGAAGTCTTGATTTTAAAGTTTGGAGAGAGTAGATTCAGCTTGGGAATCGCAAAAGTTGGTGGATTTGTTTGTCGACGTTACAAGTTTCAGGTCCGTCCTAAGGTTAAAGAGTAACGTGAGAACGGGACTTTCTATCGAGCCAAAGACTGGTACTTCCGCGCCTCTTTGGCCCGCTGAAAGTTCACGGTATGGCGACGCACGCAAACGTGCAAATTTATCCCCCCTTACGTGAACTATCATAATAGTATGCGCTCAAGTTCAACCTCACCGTTCAGCTCATTGTAGGACAAGTAGACCATCTCTACCTTATCTTCTGTGAGGCTCATACAGTCCATAGTTTTTTGTAGAACTTTGGACACAATTCCTTTGGCCTCTGAGATGTCTAACCCTTCGCTATATTCTGTCTTTAGTATGGATCTTGCTGCCTGATGACTCGCTCCGATAGCTGCTGCCTGTAACTCGAAAGTCAGTTACGTCGCCGCAGGAAAAGTAGAGAAAAACCTTCCAGGCACTAAAATTTCCTGAAGGTTCACTTTGATAAAGCTGGAACCCCCCTTGCCTGTCCCTAATCCAGCCGTTAGATTAGAAGAGCATCAAATAGTCTAACTTGCCATCCTGCAAACAAAAACGCAACCCCATAAGGACGGAGACCACCAAACTGAGTGTATCCTTGCATGTGATCGCCAAGCTCCTGTACGAGGTTCTCTACAGGGATCGGTAAACCGTATCTCGCTTTGTATTGACCGGCGACGAGTCTGAAGTTTTTTAAGTGATGCAAATACGAGAGAAAGTGCAAACATATCACCTAGCAAAGTTCACCAGTATCATGGCGTCCGCGTTGAGGCCTGCGACTGCTATGACTATGTGTTTATCAATCTTCCAGAGCTTCTCTGGTGTGCTGGATTGCTCGAGGAGCTGCAAAAAAAATTAGGCGAAACTCAGCACACGGATGCAATCGATACCTTCGACATGGTCTTCTTTTCAGAGGCGAGCAACACCCCTGTGTTAGTGCGCAGCCCCACGCACGTTCCGGCATGATTGACAGATTCAAGTGCATACTCAACCTAAGCCAGATGATTGAGGAGAAGGACACAAAATGCGAAGAGCTTCACCTGAAAAAGTCTACCCTCCGGACTAAATGTCGTCGTCCGAGAGTCGTATCTATACGATATTTAGGGTGATCAGTAAACGAGATACTTCGAGAGTTAGGACACACCTTCGCGCCATGCGAAGTGACAACAGTTTCTATCACAGACGAAGCGCTACTGGCCAAAGCGTAATCACGTTGCGTGTTGAAGCGATATCCGGATTCGGCGAGACGGTACCGCGTGAGAAGTTGCTAGCCTTCCGATTCCGTAGTCCAGGAGGTGGCTACTGACTCTGCAGCGGCTGGCATCAAGTAATGACTTTAGAATCGTCGTAGAAAATAGATAGGGGTGCACGGCCTGGTACACGCTGCGGCAGCTGCTCTCACGCCTTCAGAGAGTCACTCGAGCCCGCTGAGTCAGGAACCGTCAAACATATAGTATATTGAGACTTTTAGTGGTATCAAACCGTCGCATTACATACCGGGTGTTTTACCTAGTGAAAATTCGTGAAAAGTCAAAACGTTTACTAAGGGTGACTAACAGCGGAACTTCATAACTCGGGCATAACTCGGACTTAATACCCGAGTTATGAGAGATAGCTGTTACCCCCTGAGCGCGTCGTAGCTTTAAGACCCGAGTTAGGCGAAAATGACTAACAGCTAATTTTCATAACTCCGTCATAACTCGGGCACGTTGACGAGTCATGAACTGTGATCTCAATCATACTCGATTCCGTTCACGTCCACTTGTCCGAGTTATGCGTCACATGACTAACAGCAGAATTTCATAACTTGGGCCTAACTCGACCCCCTCGAAATTAACTCAAGGATTGACTCGTCCCGAGTTATGAAGAAACGTGAAAATTCTTCATAACTCGGGCCCGAGTTAGGAGGATTTTCACGTCATTTTCATAACTTTAGTGAAAAAAGCTTGCTGTTACCCCCATTTTTCTCATAACTCGGACTTAAAGTTATGAAAATGGCTTGCCTAAGGCGCCCTAACGTTAGTATTATTCGAGGAGTTGATTGTAGCCGATGGAATTTTGCGAACCGTTGAAAAACTCAGGACCGGATGTACCTCCAAGCGGCACAGGGTGGCGCAACGTCGTCATCTACAGCACAACAGTGAAGGAATCTTTTCGTTGAGAATGTCAGGTAAGGGAGCTAAGGGGCTTTCTGGCAAAGGCCTCTCCGGGAAAGGGGCGAAAGGCACGATGTCCTCCAAGAAGGGCGACAAGAGAAAGCCAACGTCTCGTTCTGTGAAAGCCGGTTTGCAGTTCCCGGTTGGTCGTATTCACAGGTTCTTGAAGGTACGAATTTTTCGCGATTTTATTTGCGAACTCGACGCCGTTGCAAACACGAGACCGATGAGAAGATCCGCGCCTCCTTACGCACGAATTTTTACCGTTTAAATTTCGAATCCTGCTGTTTGAATGAGAATAGGATAAAATCGCTCGACCGTGTTCGCGATGATGAATGTACTGACAGCCTTAAAATTAGAATCGCGCGGCTTCCGGTGGTCGTGTTGGTGCCACCGCTGCAGTCTACTCTGCCGCCATCCTTGGTATGTATACCCACCGCCACTGATCTTGACTCAACTTACTATGGAACATAGAATACCTTACAGCAGAAGTATTAGAGCTTGCGGGCAATGCCTCGAAGGATTTGAAGGTTCGAATTGTGTGTACCAAGACGTCTTAGAACGAAACTAACACGAGCCACAGGTTAAGCGCATCACGCCTCGTCATCTCCAACTCGCTATTCGGGGTGATGAAGAACTTGACACACTCATCAAGGCAACTATTGCCGGTGGTGGCGTCATTCCGCATATCCACAAGTCCCTCATGAACAAGTCATCGAAGAAAGGGGAATAATTTAGCCCCGTGGGCTCACCTGGAACGCAGCACTCGCACTTGGAAGCGCTCGAGGGTGTGAATGTTTCTTGCTTCGTCTTCTATGTGTCAAACCATAAAGCTTTATGGGTACGCGCACAACACACAGGAGTATCCGAACTTTGAGATGTAGTAACAACGTTTTCTCTTCGTTAAAATTGACAAGTATTCTACACGGAGTCGGTATTCGCTCCAAGTTTACCATCGCACGCTACAACTTTTAATAGCTTCACCCTTGACTCGCGTGACGTTGAATCGGTGTCCGTGACGTTGACAACGGCGTCCTCGACAATAAAAGTCCACACGTTTCCACAAAACCGATAAGTATGGAGTTGCCCCTTGATGGACGCTTTAGTCTTTGAAGCTTGTAGTACTCTGGTCACACATCTATCGAACTCAAACAGAACCTTCATCGCAATCGATGGGGAAAGAACGCCAGAATTCACCATTTCGTCTAGAGCGTCGGTCAACGACATCCCAATAGTTGACCTTCGATATAATTCTAGCTGCGCGAAAGATTAAGCAACGACTTCGAAACTAACTCAAGACGTACCGACATTCCACACAAAAAAAACACAAACAAGCGACACGCAACACGCAACACCTTGCTACACGATCAAGCTTGTAACTGCGGATGTCGACTCAAACTAAATATTGACGTTTTTCTGAAATGATAGCGCAGTGTCGACACGCGTTTGTGACGCTCTATGGAAAAGTAGCTCTCCTAGCGGCACTCTGAAGCACGCAGTTGTGCGTTGTGTTGTTTGTTTCAGTTTTTCTGGGATATCTTATCTTCATAGACCCATTCCACTAAGGAATTCGTGTCATTTTACGTACTAACCTCCGTTTCAAACGTGATGATACGGAGCTTTGTTATACGCGTTGTCGCATCATATCGAGGCATGCTGTACATCGCTGGAAAGCTGTTGAAATTTCCCGTACGTCGATGCAAGTTCCCCGGTGTGGATTTGCGTAAAATCGCCGATGCGCGATGATTTCCATTTTGTGTCAATTCCAAAATGATACCTGAGTTGGACAACTTCAGGAGGTGGGCAAAGTTAATGGCCGAACGCGAGGTAACAGACTTTAATACGATAGATGGAAGTCCAAATTTGCAAACTCTTCATCGTGAAATTGATTGGTTGATCTCAGACAATATTGCAAGTGTGCAAGGTTTTGGTCAGAGTCTGAACTCTGTCAAACACGTATCCTCTTTGCTGAACTCATCGGAGCTCTATTCCGTTACGCTCAGATTATCTATTGAAGAACTTGAGCATCTATGGAGAAAACGCACGATGGAGAGAGTCCCATTGCAATATCTTACGCATACAGCTCACTGGCGAGACCTTGAACTAACTGTCAGTGATGCAGTACTGATCCCAAGACCGGAGACTGAGCTCTTGGGTGCGCGTGTGTATAATCACTCCCTGGATCGCGCTCGAGATGGAAAAGGTTCTCAAGTCGTCCCTGAGAGCTGCGTTGGACTTCGGATTCAGCGTGCGCGACTACGAGCTTCTTCCTCTTCAGAACTGTCTCGCCGAGACGAGCGGTGAGGAACCGAGTATGCTCGTTGCCATGCTGAGCGTGCTCGCGCCGAGCTCGTGGAACCATCAACCGACGTGTCCTGGTCGAA